CTCATGTAATTCAGCAAGAAATTATGTATAGTAACGAAAATGAAATTACACAAAATTCAGCGTCAGCAACTAAAAAACAAAATCATGTATACCACCTAAACATTGATGTTTTAGCAATTAAAAACAAAAAAAAAACCAAAACAAAACAAGAACAACAGAGAAACACTAAAACTAAATTAAGCGCTTTGTAAGCAAACAGCGCTATGGCGAACAGTTAAGAATAGCTTGCAATCAAAGATACAACAAACAATTGGCAACAGTTTCAAGAACCACAAACAAATAGGGAAATTATATAAAAAACGTTAAAAAAAAGGTTAAACAATAACTTAAGGCTGAGTAAGGCTTTAGCGGTGCGTTGCGACGAGGTACAACAAGCGTTGTCGTTTTGCTTAAATTTAAGCAAAATTTATCAATTTTTTCCTGCCTATTAAAATGTTAAACTTTTCATCGTTTTGCTAAATTTTTTTATTAAAATATTCAAAAAGGATCATTTTCCTCAAAAATTAATTTCTGACCATGGGTCAATTTTCAATCAATTTCTCAATTTTATTTTAGAATCCCGTTCGAGAAATGTTGCTCTACGCAACTCCCGACCCGCGGTCGTCCCATTTTCAGACCTCCAAGTGTTCTTCTGTCATGAAATCGTTTCTCATAAAAACCATTTGCAGTTCGGAGGCCACCTTAGGTCACTTCATTTGCTTGACAAGATCAACATGCACAATATCGATAACATGATACCAAACTCGCTTATGCATGCATTCAAAAAACTAGCGAAAGGGCAGCTAACTATTATAGGAGTATGTGTTGAAAGCCTGAAAGAATGTTTATGTAATAGTTTTCAAATTAAGCAACTGTTGGACTTAAAATCCTAGGCATTAAATGTCAAAAATTTGTATGAAAAAGTTTGGCATTAAAAAGTAATTACGTTTAAAAATTTGTCATGGAATTCATTTCCACAAGTTCGGCTTCAAATTGCCTTTACTTACTTACTTGCTTATTTTTTTATTTCTATAACCAATTTACCAAGCTTGGTAAGAAAAGCCCAAATTAATTAAATAAGTTGCTTAATTTTTACGGGATTTGGTGATTTTTTTTAACGATTTTGGTAAATTTTATTTTCCGGCCGCGACAACACTGGTTACAACATATTTACCAGTGACGATCAGAGAGAGCCTTTACTTTATTACCGGTGGTGGGCACCGCCTTGCACGCGGGCAAAGCTCTTTCAAGCTTTGTATATATTTAGTATAGAAAGCTTGAAAGAGCTTTGCCTGCAGAAAAGCTCACGCCCATATAAAATCTACAGAAAGAGTTCGGCCCGCGAGCGCTGTTTTAAGCATCACTGGTGTACCCCTCTCTCTCTTTCTCACAGTAACTGCATTCAAACCAGTGTTGCGCCGTCAAAAATATTTTTCCCAGCAAAATTGTACCATAAATTTTAAAAGCACTGCAACCGTTTTGAACAAGGCTGATTTTCAAAGAACAATTCCGACATTTTTTAAATTTTACTTCAAGAAAGTCAAGGTCGAGTAAACTTAGTTACCGAGTTGCAGCGCACCGTGAGAGTCTGCTTTTTCAGCCATCAAAAATAAAACGCGACATCAAACCATATTTCTCAAACAAAACAAAATAAAAACAGTTTAAAACTAAAAATAATAAAAGAAATTGTGCAGCATGAAAATGTGGAAGAGAAAAAGATAATGGTGGTTAGCTAGAAATCTTTCACTGTGCCAAATTGTAAGAGTACCTCATTAATTTAATACGAAAACAGTAAGGAAAAGCAAAAAAGTGCATAAATGAAAATAATAAAATGAAAGTGCGTATTTGTAATACACACGACGCAATTACATACATACAAAAATTCAAACAGGAAAATAACAACAAAGAATATAAAAAGGAAAAACAATTCAGGAGTTTAGCATACATTTACACAAATACATAGATGTAAAATACGAGTAGTAAGGCAACAACAGCAGCAGCAAGTGCAGTAAGTGCAACTTTCAATTTATTTAAATACTTACATATGCAAACTTACATACATACATATGTATGTATATTTATTTTATGTTTTAACTTTATTTCAATTTAATTTAAATCGATTTAATGCAAATTGATTTTTTTGTTTAATGTTTTATTCTTAGCATTACTTGGCGGTCTTTAATTTTTACAGTCTCTCGTAATTCAATGAATTCGTATTTTAGCAGTGCTTAATATTGTAGCAATTTGCAATTAGCCCAAAACACTGTACTCTTAAAATCGAATTGAAACTGCGCATGAAATGTTAAAATAATGCAAAAATAATTTTAATTCTTGCAAACAAAAAAAAGTTAAAATACTTTTAAAACAAGCAACTTGATATGCCTCAATACAGGTCTTAGTTAAAATTAGTAGAAAAGATAATGGTTTTAAAGGAGCTAATGTACTATGTATCTAGTATTTAGTAAATATTGAATGCAATATTTTATTATTTATTTAAGGTAAATATTTTAAATTTTCTTTCGTATATATTTTATTATTTTTGAAAAAAAACATATTTTCAAATATTAATTTTAAATAAATTTAAACACATATAATTTTCGATTTAAGCTTAAGTTTTCAATTTTAACTAGTTTCAGCTAATTTTAATATTTTCTTTATTTAATTTTGATTCTACATCAAGTGTTCAATGTCCGTATTGTGATAATAATTTAATTATGTAACGAAATGTTTAAAAACTTGTTCTCTTTTTAATACACACTTTCGTTTACTTTTGCTACAACCTTTTTACGATAGACACAATAAGAGGATAAGAACAAAGAAAAACAAAACCTTTAAAATAATAGCAAAAACAAAGCTTCTTCACGCTGCTACAGAGGCAAATGCAAAAAAAAACACACCAAAAAATACACAGAAATTACACAAAAATTGGATTTTCACATTGGTCGCGAAACTTTTCTTATGTAAACAATATCTCTATCTAATGCAAAATTCGAGTGACAGAAGGACCATATTTTTATAACTCATACAGCTAAATTAATAAAAAATAAAATCGTACAAATTTTATTTAAAAAAAATCTATGAAAATGTCGCTTTATAAAGCTATTTAATTCTATT